CCCAGAAATTTTCAATTTGAATGCCTCAATTTTGTCATTGGAAGTGAACACATCTTGACCTGGCCCTTGAAAGGAGAGGTTCAACACATTGAGCTTGGTGAATATATCACACAAGTAAGAAAGCTTAGCAACCCACTCTTGCATGAAACAGAATGCATGCTGTGAGCCACATTCTTGCAAGAAGCCATGAACTACCTTCCTTTGTTGAAAGAGTCTCTTCAATGCACTTTGCTGTGAAACGGCAGGGTCTTCTCAGTCTCCCCCATCCCATCGCAGAAGTCATGGAACATGCGAGACTTCTTAGCTTTGCTCTTGATATCATTGATGATAATGACGTACTTTTTCATTACTGCATCTAAATCTGACTCACTTGGTAGATGCTTTGATGCTAAATTCTGGCAATGCAGGGTGCAGTGAGAACTTCTACAGTTCGGTGCATAATATTTCAATCTTGCCACAGCCCAACCATACTCGCTGCGCCATCGTTTGTAATGTGTGAACACTTTTCAATTGCACTCCCATTGTGGGTGAGACAGTCCAGAACTTTTTTTGCAATTGCTTCACCGGTAGTTTCTGCGCTAAAATTTTCACAGAAAAGAAACTCTTCTGCCATTCGCAAGTGCTAACAGTCAACATAGCGAATGAAGCATATCAGCTGATCCTTGTTTGTGAGATCTGTCGACTCATAAAAACATAAGAACATAAGAATGGAGGAAACTGCAGCGGGCCTATTGGCCCTTACTGGGCAGTCCCATTTACACCCAACCCCTATTGCTCATATATCCACCCAACCTATGCTTGAAGCTATCCAGCGTATTCGAGTTAATGATGATGTTTGGTAACTAGTTTCACTCGTCCATTGCTCTATTTCCAAACCAAAGTTTACCTATTTCGCGCCTAAATCTAAATTTATCTAATTTAAAACCATTGTTACGAGTTCGCTCTTGGTGGGATAGTTTGAGTACCTTTGTAATGTCCCCTTTGTTTAGTCCTGACTTCCATTTATACACCTTTATTATATCGCCTCTCACTCGTCTCGCCAAATTGCAATCCATGGCAGGGACTTTTCCTACACTACAACATTATGTGTGTGGTCGGGGGCCCCTAGGCACGTGCCTCCTATGCCTATTGGGAAATCTGCCACTGCACAGGATAAAGTGAGATTGACTTGTTCACTGATTTTTGTGGGTCACAATGTCGGTCACAGCTGCTCCTGGGTTACAGCACCTGGTCACAGTAGTCTGTCGGGTCATACCAGTCGATGGTTTGGGTCATAGTACTGTGACCCGGGTCACAGGGTCGGGGAACACTGATCTAAATGGTCCGTCCCTCGTAACGATCTTCGAGGGTGAGGTGCTTCCCCGCCTGGAGTACTGTCACCCCATCTGATCCCCGAGATATGCTAAGGACTGTCAGTTGATTGAAAATGTCAAAAGGAGGGCCACCAGACTCAGCAACCCAGAGAGATTAGAGTGCCTGCAATTGCCTAGCTTATACTACAGACGGGCAAGGGGATACCTAATTGAGGTGTATAAACATCTCAAAGGGCACTACTCAGTCGAGTGTCCATACATGGAGCTGGCAGACGCTTGCCCCACAAGTGGTCACAGCTCAAGGTTGAAGCCACAAGTCCAGGAAACTGTGAGGGCAAACTTTTTCGAAGTAAGAGTTGTGAACTCGTGGAACAACCTGTCAGAGAGTGTTGTGGCGGCAACCGAGTGTGAATTGTTTCAAGACCAGACTTGACCAGCATTGGGACTCAGATACATTCAGGAGCCAGTGCATGCCCAGTACTTGCCAAAAGTGCGTAACAGAGACGTGACAGATCGCCCAAGCGGCTAACGAGCCGATCTTTTAGTGAAGAGGTTAAAAGAAAAGGAAAAGTAATCAGACGTGACAGATCGCCCAAGCGGCTAACGAGCCGATCTTTTAGTGAAGAGGTTAAAAGAAAAGGAAAAATAATCAGAGACGTGACCGATCGCCCAAGCGGCTAACGAGCCGATCAGTGATGAAGAGGATAAAAGTAAACAAGAAATAGAATGGTGGACGAGTGGAACAATTTACCAAATATCATCATTAACTCGAATATGCTGGATAGGTTCAAACATAGGTTGGATGGATATATGAGCAATTGGAGTTGGGTGTAAATGGGACTGGTTGCGGCTGCCTGTTAACGCTATTTTACACTGTATTTGTGCTCTGATTTTTTTTTTGGACTATGTTACGTTCTGTTTAATATGACGGATTACGACGTGGTGGGTCCGCTCACTCAGCTAAGGTGAGGATAGTTGAATCCAGGAAAAAAAAGTCATAGAAAAAAGTCAGCTATAAAAAGGCAGGGAAAAAACCTAACTTAACTTAGCTTAACCTAACCTAACCTACGTGCAATGCCATCAAAAATATATCGTGTTGTAAATTTATACAAGTCATGTGACGTTTTTTTTTCCTGTGGACATTATTTCCGTCCACCAGGAAGTTAGGTTGGTTTTTTTTTTTTTGGTTGGTTAGGTCAGGTTTTAGTAAATTTCGTGATAAATATTCGTCCATTGGCTGTTCTCAGGGTTTGATAGAAGAATAGGTGAATTTTCAGTCAGACACCAGTCCTCTCGCTGTTATTAAAATGTATTTCCAATAATACATGTTGCTTTATGATATTTCGGTAAATTTGAATTAGTGCACACAACTCTGTTAGAAAGTCAAAACTATGTTTTTCTATTGTATTTGTGTGTTTTGATTGGCTTTGACTTAATTTTTGTCGGAAATTGCCTGTTTTTTTTAGTTTTCGGGGGTTTTGGGTGGGGAGTTTTCCGACAAAAATTATGGCCAAGCGAATACAAAGTACACAAAAAACACTAGAAAAACAGGCATATAAACCTAAAATAACCTAACCTAACCTAACTTAACTCTCACCATATGATGGAATCACTTTCTTACCTTATTGGCGTGGTTCTGGTTCGTCTTTGAATACTGAGATTAGTACTGTACAGGTTGCTGACGCGGATTCTCGCCTAACAGAGGTTATAGGGAACGAGTTACCACAATGCCACATATGTTGGTCTTAATGATATTTACATTCGTCGAAGAACACCACGAGATCTAAAAAATGATAGCTTGCTCGTTTTTTTTTTCCCAAAACGCGCAGACTTCCATGGTTGGAAATGAATTTGAATTTCCAAAATAAAATTAGAATCTGATTGGGCCAAAAATACCTGGTAGCGCATTTGATTGGTGACTTGCACGTACTGTACTGTGAGATTTATAGGAAGTTGAATCCAGGAAAAAAAAGTCAAGAAAAAAGTCAGATAAAAAGGCAGGGAAAAAACCTAACTTAACTTAGCTTAACCTAACCTAACCTACGTGCAATGCCATCAAAAATATATCGTGTTGTAAATTTATACAAGTCATGTGACGTTTTTTTTTCCTGTGGACATTATTTCCGTCCACCAGGAAGTTAGGTTGGTTTTTTTTTTTTGGTTGGTTAGGTCAGGTTTTAGTAAATTTCGTGATAAATATTCGTCCATTGGCTGTTCTCAGGGTTTGATAGAAGAATAGGTGAATTTTCAGTCAGACACCAGTCCTCTCGCTGTTATTAAAATGTATTTCGTAATGTTTGGACAATTCTAATACATGTTGCTTTATGATATTTCGGTAAATTTGAATTAGTGCACACAACTCTGTTAGAAAGTCAAAACTATGTTTTTCTATTGTATTTGTGTGTTTTGATTGGCTTTGACTTAATTTTTGTCGGAAATTGCCTGTTTTTTTTAGTTTTCGGGGGTTTTGGGTGGGGAGTTTTCCGACAAAAATTATGGCCAAGCGAATACAAAGTACACAAAAAACACTAGAAAAACAGGCATATAAACCTAAAATAACCTAACCTAACCTAACTTAACTCTCACCATATGATGGAATCACTTTCTTACCTTATTGGCGTGGTTCTGGTTCGTCTTTGAATACTGAGATTAGTACTGTACAGGTTGCTGACGCGGATTCTCGCCTAACAGAGGTTATAGGGAACGAGTTACCACAATGCCACATATGTTGGTCTTAATGATATTTACATTCGTCGAAGAACACCACGAGATCTAAAAAATGATAGCTTGCTCGTTTTTTTTTTCCCAAAACGCGCAGACTTCCATGGTTGGAAATGAATTTGAATTTCGAAATATGAGAAATGCAAAATAAAATTAGAATCTGATTGGGCCAAAAATACCTCAAATTAAACCACAAATCATTTTAATTGGTAGCAAAAAAAAAATGCATTTGATTGGCCGCGTGACTTGCACGGGAACGCATACTGTACGTGTGATGATTTATGAAGGGAACACACAGTGTGGGAGGTCGGGTAGGCAATAATGGCGGAACATTGATGGAAGAAAATAGAGAAAGATTTGGGGGTGCACCAGGTTAGGTTAGGTTTTGTTGGTTGGTTGGTATTTTTTTTTTTGTGACTTACTCAAAAAAAGAAAAATCCAACTTTTTCCGTTATGATTGTTGGGGGGAGTGGGGTTCGAAACTCATCAAATACCAAAGGAAAAACTTATTTATAATATCAAAAGAAAGACAGGTAGTAGGCAGCTACCAAACAGGTACTACCGCCTGGCAAGTTATTGGAAGCATAATGTGTTGTCTAATGGTAGACCCTGCTGCCATATGGCACCACGAAAATTATGACCAAGTCCTAGGTTGCTGATCTGACTTTTTGCCTCATATACACACAATTGCAGGGTCTCAATTGTTTCACTTACTTTTGACAACACAACATACATACTATATTGTTTCTCATTTTTTATCTTTTTGTTTTCATTTTTGTATTTATTATTATTATTATTATTTTTATTACAGTGGTGTTGTTGTTATCATCATCATTATTATTATCATCATTATGATTATTATTAATTTATAATTTTATTTTCAATTTTGTAATTTTTATTACATGTATATATTTTATTTACTATGAATTATTATTATTATTATTATTATTAATATTATTACATTTTTGCCTCCCAGGCCCCAATGTGGGTCAGTGACCTGTGCCTGGGTAGGCTACTCCCCATAAAAAAGTATATACGTAACTGCCACATTTGATCTCGTAGCATCATTGCTGGGAGTTTTATTCGCAGGTCGCTTAATCATTGCGAGATCACACAAAACACACGCCAGCATGTGTGAGACTGAGGCAAGCGGGAGCGTATGGAGGAGGAATACGTACACACACACACACGCTGTCCTACACTACAGTTGAGGCGCGCGGTACAAAATTTTTGCTCGTAAGAATTTACGAATAAACGGGGAAACCATTGCGAATAGTGGAAATGGGGAAAAATAAATTGATTGCGGATAAATGGGGTTACGAATACCGAGGCTATGAATAATGGGCATGCAGTACTAGGATTCATTCATTAATAAATATAGAACTAAGCCTAGTTTTACGAATACAATAATAGGAATTCTTTTTTCCTTTTTATTTTCAGAAAATGTATGGTATATTTGGTGAGGAAATTCTTCAATACCCAAATTTTTGTGAACAGGAAAGTTCTAAATAACTGTTGTATGAAATCCTTATGAAACTTGTTAAATTTTCTTAGAGAAAAATGTCTTTGAAAGTCATTAAAAAAACTTCTTTACGTGAGACTATGCAAAGTTTGTTGAAGCCAGTTCGTGTAAATTTAGTGAGAATGAAACCATCATTTTTGGAGTATTGTGCCCAAGGACTCTTGAAGACTGATGAAGTAGCAAGTTCTGCTCCACATCTCGGTCAGCAAGTCGCAGATCAGGTTGGTATATTGTTGTTACCTGTCTGGGAGTACGACTGGGCACAAGGCACTGTTACATCCACTTCCTGCACACATATCTTCACTTTACACACATTTCCATGTTCTTATTTTATAATTTTATATGTATTTTTTTTTATTTCTAAGCTACATTAGAGTATTGTACAGTATTGTAATGACATTTCCACATCTTTTTTAGTTTCATTGCCTGTAACTAAGGCAACATGCTGTCTCACAGCCCACCTCTTCCCCACAGTGAGTCAAGCTGTCACTAAACCAAATTTTTACCTTGCGAGAAAGGGTGTCAAAACTTTTTTATCGCTAAATGAGGGATACCTGTATATCTGGTGTAAGTTCATTAGGAGATTATAACCATAAATATTATTTACACTTACTGTCATAGAAATTATTGCCAATAATAAAAGTGATTAAAAAAGTGCTACAATAGTGTCATGTACACTAAGCGTGCCACATGCAAAACTAAGTTGTGGAAATGTTTGTGAAAAAATCCAGTGGTCGCTATGGGGGCATTATAACGACAATCTTTTGTTCATTACTTTATGTTGTTTAAATTAATTAATAAGGTGATTTTTTATAGCTATGCCTATAATGCCATGGTGTACAGTACTGTATTGTGTTGTCTGTGTGTGGAATTCATGTACAGTACAAGTATTGTCAATTAGCAACTGCTTTAAAATGGTTTTGGTTGTATTACTTTACCTGTTAATACATAGTACAGTATTTAAATAAAATGTGACTTTTCTTCGTGACTTTACTTAAGCTTCCCAAAATCCGAACCCCCTCATTAAATCCTGGATTCATTACTTGATCACTCACTCCTGAAACTGTAGAGATATCCTGGAACACTTTACAGTCCATATGTTTCTTAATTTGTCATAATAACATAGCAGTGTCTGCAAAAATGTTTATGGAGGAACAACAGTTTCAACACACTTTTATGTGGTACTCTGCTTGTCGCAGATTCTGTGCCATCAATCACCACACACTGCTTTTTGTCATGAAGAAATTCTTTGATGCACACCAGGAAATTTCCCCAAATCCTATACCCTTCTGGTTTAATTTTCAACTTCATGAGGTATGCTACCAGATGCCTTAGTTGAGTAAAAATACAGTAATATCCCCATTAGCCTGAACAATAGGTGCAAAGCATTTCCGGTTTTGAGAGATTTTCGGGTATTGAGATGAATTCTCTTATCACTGGATGAAGTCGCACATCTAAGGCTTAACTGCAGTCGGACAGATACAGTGGAATTTATTTATGCAAACTACTGTACACGTACAATATTGTATATTGTAAATAAACGAAATATACTACTGTATAGTGCTTTTTTTCTTAGTTGAGAAGAGATTCCCCCATCTCCTCCTCAAGAGTTACAGCTGATTGGCTTTTGCAAACCTGTCCGATTTTGTCCTGAAGTACAGTAATGATGTATTCTAAATGAGTTAATTCATAATCATTATTATTCTTGGGATGACCTTTTCTGATGAGAAAGATATTTAGCTAAATTATACAGGTTGACAATCCTTTATCCGAAATCCTTGGGCGGAGGTGGTAGAGTGAGTGAGTGTGTGGTGGGTAGTGAAGCAGAGGAGGCAGATGGCAGGAGGGGAGGTGTGGGGTTGTGAGTCACTGAGACTGTGCCGAGCCGACAGAGGGTGATACGCCATAGAAATTAGTCCGTGATGACGCAAAACGATGTAGTATCGGATCAGCGGGGCGTTAAACGAATTTTTGGTCTCTAAAATATAGCGATGTAGTACCGAAACAATGTTAAGTGTGGACTACCTGTAGTTTACCAAATTTACAGTAAGTGGGATCTTTCTCTCTATAATTTTTTTAATTTCCCTTACTTCAAATTTTTTTTACACATTTAGAAATTTTATGAATTGTCTGAAATGAATCTCGAGTTTTTCTTTTTCAGCTTGAAGAATTGTGTCCAACATATCCAAGACCTCCATGCAATCCTACAGTGCTTGTAGTTCTTGTCTTGGCAAACTCAAGCAAAAATTTTGTTTCAGTATCTGAAATTGAGCATATTATATGGTGAGTAGTTTTAAATTTGTAAATATGTAACTTTTTTTTTTTTAATCGGTTATTTTGCAAAATTCCCGGCATGCATATTGATAATTTTGTGAATAACTTACAAACAGGCTAGCGAAGGTTAAAAAAACAAGACTACTTAACTGTGTATGAGTCTACATGAGCCATCCTAACCCCTCACTTAACTTTACCATAAGGTTTGGTTAGATTAGGCTGTCTGTTTTTAAGTTATTTCTCAAAATTACCAATATGCATTTTGCATAATAACCGATTTCGCTAAAGAAAGTAACATATACATATCGGTATATCACAGACCAAAAGCTTGAATCCAAGTGAATGGAAGATCAAATGTGTATACTGTTCCCCTTGCAATTTAAACTACTGTAATGTACTGTTCAATCTTCAATGTTGACTTTTGACCTTTGATCTCATACAGTTACTGTAATTGAGTTAAGAACTTTGTGCTTTTTTCTACATCTAATTTTTCAGAATTTTAATAAAGTTATGACTTAATTTTATCATCTTAATGTTGATGCTCAGTAAGGCACCTCTCATAGATAGTTAATTTATTTCTTTGGAAATATTGGATGGGAGGTGGACATATCCAGGAAAAATAGTTGTGCATGCATGTTTGGAATGTGCAGAGTAGCATGATGTTTGTAGATAAATGTACAGAATTTCTCACACATGATGGTTGGATGTTTGGAAAGACAGGTGCCATAATCTGGATGTAAATTGTAAGACAATGTGGAAGGGGAATGTCATAGCACAACACAGATGATGACTTAAAAATAATGAGAGGTAGTCTGTATTAATCTTGATTCTGGCTATCCTGTGCTGAAGCAGGAAATTGGTTGTAAAAAGAAAAAAAAAACAATACATGTTCTGTACATGTGTCATTGCACTTGTGTGTAACTACAGTATATACTTTATTATACCTGTACTTCATTAAAATTTCCATTTCTTAAAAATAAATTTATTTTCAGTGACCTGTTCCCCTTTTATAAAGCAGGATCTACAGAAGAAAACTGGACAAACAATTTTTGGAAAACCTTTATCAAATACAAGTACAGCCATGGGAAAATTCCACGAATATTCCTAAGGAAGAAAGTAAAAGGTAAATCTCTTGAGATGTCTTCATTTTGGTAACTATTGAGATACATATTCTAAATCTTTTCCTGTACAGTACAGTATATATTTTGAGAGTAAACTTCGATAAATCGGACTTCAATATGTCGGAATTCACTTTTTTTGGACTCTTAGATGCAATAGTCACCAGAAATACAATTTTTTTTTTTTTTTTAAAGAAATATAGAAGATTAATAAAAATCTTATGAAATAAACCACACTTACTGAATACTGTACTGTACTGTACAATGTTATCATCATCTAATGTACTACATGTATAGGAATAGCCATGTGTGTGTGTGTGACTGTTCTGGGCAGCTGAAACGGCATAATCGTTTTTCATCAAACTTGGTGGAAAAATCGCAAAAAGATCGTAGAGTAGAACAAACCTGGTCCCATGTCGATGGTTTCTTTAGGAAGGCATTAATTAACCATTTTGTCGCTGTACGCTGTCAGCCGGACGGCGGTTGCACGCTAGCCAAGCACGAGCTTTCAAATTTTCACCGTGCACAAAGGGCCCGCGATCACTTGTATTTGCTATAGGCCTTCTGAGAACTATTGGGAAGATATTGGAAGCATAATGTGCTGCCTAATAGTAGACCCTGCTGCCATATGGCATCACAAAAATTGTGACCAAGTCCCCAGGCTGCTGATCTGACTTTCTGCCTCATTTACACACAATTGCAGGGTCAGTTGTTTCCCACTTTGATGACACAACATACATAGTATATCATTTCTCACTTGATTTTTTGTTTCATTTTTGTATTTCTTTATTTCAGGTTGTACCTCTCTATTCCGGCATTCTGTGGTCCGGAAACTCCCATGGTCCGGAACGATTTTAGTTTGTCCAATAGGTAGATAGGCAGCTTTGTTTTTTTTTACTTATCTGAATTATTATTATTATTACAGGAGTATTAAATTTTTGCCCCTCAGGCCCCAATGTGGGTCAGTGACCTATGCCCGGGTGGGCTAATCCCCTTAAAAAAAAAAAAAAGCCGCGGGAAATTAAGGTTTGTTTACATCCGGCAGTTCGGCTGCTCTCTCTCTCTCTCTCTCTCTCTCTCTCTCTCTCTCTCTCTCTCTCTCTCTCTCTCTCTCTCTCTCTCTCTCTCTGCGCTTGTCTATACAGAGTACAACATTTAACCCTTCAATATATATGCGCAGTAAATAAGTGTTGCTTTCATATTCTTATGTAGAGTAATGACGATATGTTTTCACATGTGCGCACTTATATACGCGCACTCACTTTTTTTTTACCATTAATGGTTAGCTACTTATATTGTTCCATTTATTAGCATTAAATAACATTACAGGTACTTCAAACAACCAAATTAATTTTTTTACATTAATTTTACTACAGCTAAAATCAGGGTCTTATTTTCTTTAATTTTATATGTAGAACCAATCAGTCACTGGTTTTGTAAGCTTTAACATAAACAATGCCGGCAGCCGTCTCGTCTCCTCTAATATTCCACGTATTATTAACAAATTGTATTGTTAATTTTGCACACACACACACACATTAATTCAATAAAAACAAATTTAGAAACATTAATTAAAATATATATGAACAGTAAATAAGTGTTGCTTTCATATTCTTATGTAAAGTAATGACGATATGTTTTCACATGTGCGCATGCGCATTTACATACACGATCTCTCTTTTTTCTTTACCATTATCATTAGCTACTTCTATTGTTCCATTTATTAACATTAAACAACATTACTTAAAACAACCATATTAATTTTACTACAGCTACAACCAAGGTCTTATTTTCTTCAGTTTTACATGTAGAACCAGTCAGTCACTGGTTTTGTAATCAACGAAAACAATGCTGTGTCATTTCCTCGTGTGTTTTAATATTCAACGTATTATTAATGAATTGTATTGCTCATTTTGCACACATAAACATTAATTCAATAAAAAAGACATTCAGTAATAAACAATAATGAATCTTTTGTACATAAGAGAAATGACACTGTTTACACGATTATGCACGTCGTCTGCACGTTGGCGGGCCGTTCACACCCGTCGAAATTCAAGTTTCCGCCGTCAAAATTTTTATTTATTTATTTTTTTGTGTTCCAATAAAATACGTTAAGAATTAAAAACTCGCGAAATTTGAGATGCTACTATACGACATTTAACCCTTCAAAGAGACCATGATGCAGAGAAAGTGTTGCTAGTGCTTCCAAGCATAAGCACAAGTCACTATCTATCCAGGAAAAGGGTGAATTTCCATGGTCCGGCACTGGTCAGGTCCCGAGGTTGCCGGACTAGAGAGGTACAACCTGTATTATTATTATTATTATTATTGTTATTATTATTATTGTTATTATTATTATTATTATTATTATTATTATTATTATTATTATTATTATTTATTATTATTATTATTATTATTATTATTAGTGTACAGGTATTACATTTTTGCCCCCCAGGCCCAGATGTGGGTCAGTGACCTGTGCCCGGGTGGGCTAATCCCTGTAAAAATAAATAAATAAATTAATGGGGCTGATCAGGTGTTGCTGCATTTGTTTATTTATTTATTGAGTCAGTATTGCATTTTCATTTGATTGGCCTCTTTATGGTTTATGGTTCATCATGATAAATATAACATCTTCAGAAATAGAGAAAAAACACAATACTGTATGTAATTTGTAATATGATTTGAAAATGAAAGGATAAGATGTATGAGAAGGTTATCTACCTAAGATGCATGTGTGTGTGAGAGCTTTCTGAAGACTAGCTTACAATAGGGGTCACTATAACACACTATAGTATTTGATATGAAGATACCTTCTTAAAAACGTTATTTACTACCTTTGAGTGTTATATTATGGCTCAGTTTGGCTACTTGTATGCTTAAGCAAATAATTAATGAATAAACCAGGGTATATGCAGATACATAATATTGTTCACTACAATATTACTTATTAAGTGATAATAAATACAATACAATATTATTTATGAAGTAATATTACACTGCAATAGTATTTATCTGTACTGTACTAATTTACTAAGTGTTGAAGACAGACAATGTGGTAAGCCAATCAGCTGTATGCTCTTTGTAAACAAATGAGTATGAAATAACTCATGGTGTTCAGGGTGGGATTCTTTTTTCAGGAAAACTGATTATTTTAGGATAATATTTTATCAACTTGGTACCATATGATGTTAAATTATATGAGGGAGCCACCCACCCATGTTACCCCCTCCCCTCTGCCACTATTCACAGATAAACATTCATCTTCCACATGCAATCTTCAATACTCCTACACTTATTTGTTCTTATTTTTATCTTTATAGTACTGTACAGTATACAGCTTTCTCTTTATTCATAAGACAAATTCTGTGGTTACTTACATATAACACTTTAAAGTAAATAACAATCATCTCGGTGACAACAGTTGTTGACAACCAGACTTATATGTCTGATTTTTAACCCAGAGAGTTCTGTTTCAGATTGTTTATTGTTGATGTAATATTCTTTTAATAACCTTCTTATACACTTAAAGACCTTAGTTGTTGAAGTGCAGTAATAACATAACAGCAACTGATTTTCTTTAAACAATTCAGATAAGCAATGTTATCCCATATATTCGTCTTTTTTTTTGGACTTTCGCATTTTTCGGACTGGGGTCTGCCCCAATTGGTCCGATTTATCAGGGTTCTTCTATGTATATACAGTAGTCTACTATGTGCAGACTATAGTAAGTTTATACTCAAATTAATCACTATCTTACAAGAATTCCAGCAATGTAAGTTATATTCTGCCAAGACAATTCAGTGACATTTTATAAGTGAAAAACTTAAACTCCCTTTATATGACTGATAACTATGCATTGGGTAATCTCCTAGCTGGCTGGTCAATACTTCACCTCCCCCCACCTCCTCCTCCCTGTCTGGTTGTCAACACCTCACCTCCCCCTTCCCAGGGGTGAAGGTAGTTTTATGCTTAAAGTTTTTATCTTATAAAATGTCTGTCATGGTTTTGGGGTGGATCGGTGGTAGTAGGAGTGGATTATATTATATAAAGATAATAATATGTCGTATTTCTTATTTCTTACCGTAGAGTCCGATACCTTCACACTGATTACTTACAAGAGATTATGGCGTATCTACGTAGAAGTTCACTCCACCACTCGACATTCCATGATTTATACTTGATAAATGATGATTTAATGAATTCATTTAATTTTCAACATCCATCTTAAGTTATTGGTTATACTATGTCATGACCAATCAGTCATTACCTTTAGCAATAATGAGATAGGATCACAGATACGGGCAGATAATTGCACTTACATTTATTTGTCAAGCTTCCATACAATGATTTACAATTTGCATGGATATATGATTTACTCACGTTCACGCTGTAATAAAATTAATCTTCTAAAACAGGGAATTTTCAACTTGGGGACACATGTGGTTACTCTACTATGGGTTTGACTTAATAGAGCCTTAATTCTTCAAGTGATACATTTACTGCCAGCCTGGATTGCTTTTGTTGCAACCAGGCTTCATCACAAGAACTTCTTCCCACGGCCATAACAACAAAAAGGTACTCTTGGGTTACCACACATAGTCTCGCGTCACTGACAGTCACTGTGGACGGTTGTCGCGGCAAGTAGAACTGGTAAGCGTGACTTGAATTAACCATTAGGTGCAATAGACCAGCCTGGATTGCTTTTGTCGCAACCAGGCTTCCACACGTGATATTTCCACGGGGATAACAAACCTAGGTTAACACACTTAGTCTCGTGTCGATCACGGTCACGGTAGACGGGTGTCGTGCAGGAGAACTCTGTAAGCGTGAATTAATTAACCATTTACTGTAGGTTTGATAGGCCAGCCTGGATTGCTCTTGTCGCAACCAGGCATCCACACGTGATATTTCCACGGGGATAACAAACCTAGGTTAACACGCTTAGTCTCGTGTCGACGACGGTTCACAGGACGGAGTGGCGTGGAGGACTCTGTGTGGTGTGGTGTCCCGCCCCCTTTCAGGAGGGAGAGGATGGAGGCGACGTCTTAACTAACCCATGGCTCAGGGGATACTACTTAAAATGAGGTTTTTGGGTGTGAAGCGATGAACAGTACAACACTGTTCCACTGCCCACCCCCCTAAAGGCTGGCTAACATACACTAATTGAAAAATACATGTCCCAGTTATGCCTCGCCGGGCGTCTTATCTCTGGTAAAACAAACTTTGGAGTTGGATGCGTGGGTAAGCCTAACGCAACCCATGACAATCGCCCCTACTAAGAAAAATTTTTCTTCGGAGAATAAAAATTTCAGCACCTGTATACACTCAAGAGAATGCCTAGCCCAGACACACAATTCAACATTCACACTGTGGTGTGTGTGTGACACTAACACTGCAACGGGATGTAGTCGCCAATCGCCACTGAGGGAAAACCTCAACATTTACTTTAGATTTTCAGGCTGGAGGAAAACTCCGAGGTGAGGGTGACAATTCCTGAGCAATAGTTCATGCTAAGCGTAAACACGCTACATTTATGTTACAGCAACGTGTTGTGTAGTGTAGGGTATGTAGACATTGTTTAGGTGGTACAGGTGTCGTGTTATGTTCTCAAATGTAGAGAGGTGTGAAAAGGTTTACATAACATTTGAAGAGTCGTCAGATGCGTGGAGGTTCGAGTTGACCGGAACATATGGACACTCCCACACATAGGTCAGGTCCTAGACACGCTCTGCAATGTCGAATGAATTTTCCCGGTGGTGAAGAGAAGGACTCCTCCAGCCGGCTGATGTGGAACTGGGTCCCTCTTTCGCTGAGGGCCCCCAAGGTGAGGGTGTACTCTGCCCATCACTCACCATTGGGTCTACTGTCCACCGCCTCAAGCTGAAGTCCACCAAAATGAAGATGTAAATCTGTCCGTCACTCGCCCTTGGGTTTACTGTCCACCGCCTCGTAGTGAATCGGGAGGCTGAGGTGGAACTGGGTCCCTCCGTTGATGAGGACCCCCAAAGATGTGGAGGTACTCTTCCCGGCACTCACCCTTGGGTGTGCAGTCCACCGCCTCGTACTGAATCAGCTGGCTGATGTGGAACTGGGTTTGCTGACCACAATGTCCGTCTCACAACCTCTCAAGGTTCGGGGATCACTGTGAGAGGCCACAGGGGTGCAGGTAGAACTCGCCCTCCGTCGCTGGTTCTGGCAAACATCACAAGTCCTCTTCTGTTTCTTTATTTTCCACCTTTAACTTCAGATTCAAAATTTCTTAGGGTCCCCTCAAATGTACTAGTAATCATATCGTAGTACAATATATGCGTTTGTACAAACTGCTGACAAGAGTGCAATTATCCGCGGTCTGTGTCCCTGTTCGGGCGCCAATTGTCATGGTCACGGTAGACGGGTGTCGTGCAGGAGAACTCTGTATGCGTGAATTAATTAACCATTTACTGTAGGTTTGATAGGCCAGCCTGGATTGCTCTTGTCGCAACCAGGCATCCACACGTGATATTTCCACGGGGATAACAAACCTAGGTTAACACGCTTAGTCTCGTGTCAACGACGGTTCACAGGACGGAGTGGCGTGGAGGACTCTGTGTGGTGTGGTGTCCCGCCCCCTTTCAGGAGGGAGAGGATGGAGGCGACGTCTTAACTAACCCATGGCTCAGGGGATACTACTTAAAATGAGGTTTTTGGGTGTGAAGCGATGAACAGTACAACACTGTTCCACTGCCCACCCCCCTAAAGGCTGGCTAACATACACTAATTGAAAAATACATGTCCCAGTTATGCCTCGCCGGGCGTCTTATCTCTGGTAAAACAAACTTTGGAGTTGGTTGCGTGGGTAAGCCTAACGCAACCCATGACAATGTCATAGGCTAAACTTGGCATAATAAAACTTGCATTGCTGGAATCCTTGTAAGATAGCGAATAACTTGAATATAGACATCATATATTTTGCACAAGAGATAAAAAATTTAGTCCTTGTATAGTACAGTTGAGTACAAAGTGAGTTCAGTAATATGTTGCTCAAAATTATGGCTTTTTCACAGGAAAAAGTCTTGGAGGTGCTCCTCTACTTACGAATAAGTTACATTCCTGAGGCTTGTGTGTAAGTCCAACTTTACTCTTGTAGATACCAAACATATTGTAAAAAAATTAAAAGATTATGGATATTTAGTACAGCTATACCCTTTAATGCAGCCTTAAAACCTGACTCGCTCTTCTCCTCTTAGGTAATGTTTACTCTATCTGGAATTTTCTTCAAAATAATCCCGTCTCTTCTACATTACCTGTAAACACTTGTTCTGGCAGGTAACCCCCTTCAGTAATGATATTTGTATCTCTGAAAGTTTGTGAGTTGAATGTTCTTAAGTAGAGGAGCACCTGTATAACTAACCCCAGTAGTTAGGATAGTATGTACTGTATTTTTGGTGTTTTATATCATTATTTATTTATTTTTATACGTTTGGTACTTTCGCCGGAAGATTCGGACATTCGTCTTTTCCGGACAGGTGGACCCCCCCTTTTAGTCCGGATCTTCGAGGGTTCACTGTACCTGTATATAAAAAATTAATCTTATCATAATTATTTCCTCTAACCACAGTTTATAAAAACAAAAATAATATATTCATAAATTACTATTTTCAGTTGCATCATTTCAAATTAATATTGCTTTGAAAAATTCTGACTACACCTGGCTATCAGTTGTAGGAGTAGCCTCTATAGATTATTTCTTCCATGGTATCAGACTTTACACCAGCAGCTCTTCATGCTGCATGGTCTCTTTTCAGGCTTCTATTTCTAATGTCATTTTTTATAACCTGTACTTATGAAAAACCAGATGAGATTTGAAATTAATGAAGTGAACATTATGAAATGTTAAGCCAAGATCTATTATATTGTATATGCAGTACATTTGATTCTCATTCTGTATTTGGAGATGAGTTACCTACAAAAACTAAATACTGTACAGGCATCCCCGCATTCTGGAATTTCACCCTTACGGAATTTTGAAATTATGACCAAAATTTCAGGTTACAAAAAAACCAGTCCCTTATGGAATTTTAGTAAATTTTTTAACTAAACAAAAAAATTGTGATTTTATCCCAAATTTTTACCAAAACTGTAAAAATTATTTTGTGTAGATTCTCTGTGGTAGTCACAAGGCAGTTAGAGGGCCACTCACCTCCCCAGTTGCCAGCAACCACCATAATAATGGTGCTGGTCAGTTGGAATTCTTCCCTAGCTTGTGTTCAGGACTGTGCAGTATTTTCTTGATTTGATGAACTAATTCAAGCCACCTCTTTACGTTCAATCAAAATTTCTGCTGAATCATTTTTTTATTTTCGCTCCATTTAGCGAACTAGTTCACTAAATTGCGTGTGATTCCATTAAATTCGTCTGAAAGTCTCTTGAAAGTCTCAGAAAGAAGGTGGTGTGGGGTGGAAAGTCTAAAGAGTGCAACTATCATTTGGAAAAGGTCGGGTAATACAGTAATAGAAAAAATTTAAAATATTCACCAAACCCCCTAGTTTAAGGTAAGCCATGAATAGGTTTCTAATGTTTCTTTGTACATATGATGTGTCTGAAGTGTCTCCGTAGGTGTGAGCGTATTAACGAAATTAATCTCGATTTAGCGAACTACATAGTTCAAATTCGAGGGAAAAATAACGGACAAAATTCCTTCCGCTAAATCGAGAGTTTACTGTATTCACCCTTATGAAATTATGGTTCATTTGTAAAGATTTTTAAAAGAAAAATCATGTTATAGAACAAAATATTTCATCAAAATTATACAATTTATTTCTTGTGGTTTCTGGCGGTAACTACAAGATGACTGCCAGGCAGCTCACCTCATCAGATGATAGCAGGCCCACAAGAACAGTGGCGTTGCTCAGTTTTAATTCTTTCCCAGTATGTGTTCAGTTATGTGTCTGTGTTACTGTGTACCCTTATTCAGGATGAATGGGAAAAGGCCATCAAGTTCAACTGAAAGCAGTGGTGATAAAAAATTCCATAAAGGAATTGCATTGGACATTAAATTTGATGTTTTAAGGAGGTAACTCCCAATAACTCCGATCACATCACCTCACCACCTGCAACAGTTAACATCATTTCTGGTAAGTAAAATTTGAGTGTTCTGTTAATTCATTATCATGATACATCATGAATGACTCATTGTATGTGGTTAAAACCATCTAATTTCATACATATATGTGCTTGTGTCATGTTTTTGGGCCTCAAAAATTTTCCTAAGGAACACAGCTCAACTTTTATGATGGAACTATAATTATGGGAAGAATGTTTCCACGTTATGGAAAGATTTTCAGAAATGGAACCCTTCCCTAGGCTGGGGAATCCCTGTAAATAAATAAATAATTCCGTGCTTGACTTCCGATGAGTTATTGCTTTATATACTAACTTCCCTCTGCTTTGTTCACATGTTACGAACACTGGCACCAGTCAAGGTGACATTACACACATGCTAGTGCAAAGAGGTCATTACTTCTGCATCTGTATTTTTATTCTGTACTGATAGTTTACCCAACTTATTGCTCATTTCTATCACTTTTGATTGTCTGTACAGTGCTCTATTGTAGTTTCAGGCAGTATTGAATACAAAGTATGTGTGGGCCTCAATCCTGCAATGAAACAGGTGTGGAAAAGACTTCTACAAAAAGCCATCAGAGGTAATGAGGAAGACTTCAGGGCCAGTACCTCTCAACCAAGTAAGCAGATTTTTTAATGCCTTTAAGTTTGTCCTTTTTATATGCCTATATTTTGGCAGTCATATTATGGTATGATGTTAACTGTCATCTGTCATTTATGTCTACATTTCTGTATGTGAACTTAAATCTTTGACTGATTTTCTTCAAATTTTCTGAATACAGCTCCTCCCCGACTTACGTCCACCCACACTTACGACCTGCCTCAGTCGTACCAAAATTTGGTCAAATTACGTATTTTCGAGTCCCAAAGTCAGTACACAGACAAAATTTTCGTTTGTAATTCACTTTAAAATGGCTGGTAAGCTTAAAAGTGAGTGTTTTGTGGTGCTGAGAAGAAAAAGGGACACCCATTTTAGATTTTCTATGTATTACTTAAGCATTTTCGACTTACTACCATTTAGACTTACGACCTGGATTTGGGTCCCTAACCCCGTCGTAAGTCGGGGGAGGCGCTGTACTTATAATTATATCCTTTTGAATTAAATTAGGTACATTTTATTAATAATACCAACAAATGTTTGATAATAATAGGTCCATGAAGTGATAGTGAACTGTGGTAATGAGAAACATAACATACAGCCAGTGATTTGGCTTTGCAAGTACGTACAGTAGGCTATTAAATCTGCAAAAAAAAAATCCAAACTATGCCTTGCTAATTTTAGGGTGCATCTTATGACCTGAGAAATATGGTGTTCTATACTGTCCTGTAGTGTTGACTCCTCTTGATCCCTGGCACACAGCCTCAGATTTATTTTATTTATTTTCCATGGAAATCTTCGAGTTTCCGAGGGACGCAAGCTTTAAAACCTCTATCTTTAAGGGAGTACTGTGTTGTTTTGATAAACTGTTTTCTTTCAGATTTCTTGGAAACACTGTTCTCTGGTAAGGCAAGACTGGATTCCTGGAGCAAATCATATTTCAAGGGAAAGAAATCAGTGGGCCAGCATTGTGGCAGTGTATATAAAGAACCCCCAGTGAAAGTGAGTGGCCCATGTGGTGATACCAGCACCAATAAGGTGAAATGCAAAAAAGAAGCCCAGACTAGTACCAATTCAGTGAAGAATTCCCATGAAATCTCAGAAACCGAATTATGTAAAAAATCAGTCTCTAATAGCAAGGTACAAAGACCTCCTCTTTCAAAGGCAGACTTTTTAAAGTGTGATTCAGTAAGCAATATTATACAAAGCTCCACGTCAGTTGGGACTGAGTCACAAGTAGGGGTCATGGATAAGAAAAATAATGTTTACAGTATTGTTGAAGACAATTTGTCCAAAGACACTATTTTTACACATTGTGATGTGAGTCAGGCTCCGTCTCCAGAAATAGCAAAGATGAATTTACCAAATAAGATGGGAACTCCTGAAGATGACAATTCCATTCCACACACCTGTATGATTCCATCTACCATATCTGACTTGATAGGATATGAAAATAGTCCAGCAGAAACTCAGAAAACAAAGACATCACCCTGTGCATCTGGAGAAGCTGAAAGAATGATTAATGGTAGTCCTAATAGTGAGAGTAATGGTAGTCATAAAAGAAAGAGAGATGATAGTCATTGTTTTTTGGCAAATAAGGTCAAATTTGTGCCATCCATCTTTCAAAGAGTTGGTAGTTTAAACAAAACTACAAGATTGAACTTTGTAGCAGCTTCTAGTAATTCAATAGACACAACGTTGAACCAGGATGTTGCTGTGAGAAAAGCATTGCCTTCAAAGGAAAAGGAAATAAATACAAATTCAACTTGTGAGGTTCAGTTTGCCAATGCTCAGAGTGAAATCCCTGTTCAGAACTTAAAATTTGGTGCTGAAAGGCTGAAAACCACAAATCTTGAAAGTATTGGCACTGTTATGAATACAAAATATACTGGAAAAGTAAAAAATCCAGAAACAAATAACAGCAGCCAAGAGGTCTGTCCTCAAAACATTGGCAACAATTTATTTATAACTGCTACAGATTCAATTGCTGATACAGCTTGTGAAACCCAAGATTTTAACATAGTTCAATCACCACATAAAGAAATGGGGATTCCAGTGATAACTGAAGTTACTTTCCTTGCTGATAGTGCATCAAATACAAATAAGGAAGGAAAAGAAAGGAGACAACAGCCAAGAGTTACTGAAGTGCCTGGAAAAGGAACCACTACATGTCAAAATAAGGAAACAAACTCTTTTGATAGCAAGAGTGAAAAGGATACAGCCATAAGTGATCATAATCCCCAGGTAAATTTACATAATATGGTTTCCAAAACTACATCCATCACTGAAACTGTGAAACCTATTGATAGTTTAAATAAAACTTTTACTGAGAAATCTGTAAGTTGTACACAAATAGCACAAAATGTGAGAGTAACAGATGTATCGAGAGCACATTTAGGATTGGAGAGGATTGCCTCAACAACAAATACTCTATGTCAATCAGCCTCTTCCTCTTTGATATCAGTGAATAGGCAAGTATGTGTAGTAAGTAATGTAACCATCCCTAAAGTTTCTAGTTGCATCAATACTTGGAAGGAAGTGTTCCCATGGATGTTATACAATGAGACATGTCATTCATTCATCTGCAAATTTTGTGATTGGGGTAGTCCACAACAAAATGCAGTGTTCACTCTGAAAGTTCCCACTGATGTGTATTCTGTGGCTGGACAGCTACGCCTTCACCAAGAAGACACGGCTCATCAGGAGATGATAGTGAAGAGGACACTTGTTAGCAAGTTGTTTGCAACCCTTTATCCCATCATAAAGGACATCAAGTTTAAAACATTTGATGATATATTAAAGTTAGTGAGTGATGGCTCTGGGGGTATGTTTCCAGGTCCTCAAAAAATACATGAGAAGAAACATTATACTAACTATATGATTAAGCTCATTGCTGAATTCATAGAATATCATCTTATAAAATCTCTTGCTGAGAGTCCATTCTTCAGCGTTTCTTACATTGAGGAAAAAGACTTTGCTCTTATCCGTTGGCTAAACCAGAAAGGTGAAGTAGAAGAACACTTTTTCTGTAGCCGAATTCAATGGTCAAAAGCTACAGTGCCAATCCTGGTTTATCTACAAAAGAAACAAATTGATGTGAGTAAGATGGTATTATATCAGACATTTCCCAGAAGCACAACTACTCCTTCAGTGAAGACTCTGATGAATCAGTTGCCAATTCGTTACCCACCCATAAGCTTATGCCTCAAGTGGCTCCAGAAGTCTGATTTATTAATGGATATTTTTATTCATTTGGAGACTCTAACACGCCTCTGTAAATTTTCACATAATAAATTTGCTCAGTTTCCTGAAGCTGAGGCAATAATAAATTTGGAAGAACCATATAGCCATGGATGCATGCTGGATAGAAAAATAATGTCTTTCTTTTTCAACAATATTATTGCACTGAAAACAATATGCTTTCAGATTCATGAAGAAACAGGAAATGTGGATGCTCTATCTTTTAGCAAATTAGAGTTGAAAAGATCGGAAGTAGTGAAAGATTGTATATCAATGATTATTGAACTATATAATTTGCTCACTAAACAGGAATGTTCATTCTCAGTCTTTGTTGCTTTGGTTAATGAATTCAGACGTGCATTGAGTAAGAAGCTGAATGCCATAGAAAATGAGGAGGCTGATGAATTTAAAGTCTTGTGTTTACTGGACTTGTACGTCTCTCATGTAATAAATTCTTTACTTATTCCAGAACAAAAACTTACAGATATTTTCACAAAGAAATTGCACCTTGTGACATGTAAAGACATAGAGATGATTTTTATTTTTATATCTTATGAGAAAAAAGGAAGTGCTTCACGATACTTAAAACGTCTTAAAACACTGTGTATTATGTCACAAAAGAAGCCAGACTGCAGCATCATTGACCTCTTGACATATCTTGCAGCTCAACCAAAATTATGTAAGCAATTCCCACATCTGTTTTCATTATACCAGAAAGTGAAAGTGTTACCTTTCCTACGTGCTCATACAGAACAGTATATGTTTAACCTTGCTGTCTCAGAGATGCTTGTTAATGGTAGATTAAGGGCACCATATGTATCTCTATTCCACTTTATCATACTGGAGGGCCCTCCACTTGAAAAGATAAATACAGATATTATTTTAGATCATTGGGCTGAGAAATGGAAATTAACACTTAAAAAACAGTGAGCCATGAAAAAGTGATTTTGATATTATTTATATATATATATATATATATATATATATATATATATATATATATATATATATATATATATATATATATATATATATATATATATATATATATATATATATATATATATATATATATATATTTTTTTTTTTTCACACAATCAACCTCACTTTAGCAGTTAATGTAACCTAGGGTACAGCGGAAAGTGAAAGCAACAAAGTGAATAACAACATATGGGATTAAATGAAATAGAGACCAGCTGACCCCCAAACTCCACTTTTTCCAACACAATACCTATGTTCTAGTAAATAACATCTTAATTTTATGATGGTACATGCACACAATTAATACTTAAGAGAAATAGAAATACAGTCGCCAAGTTAATGTCCATTCAAATAATGGACACGACTCCTCCTCTTCTCACACTACACTGCTGGCTCTTCCCTCTGAGAAATTTTGAAACCAGGTATAGTAATAAATAATACCTCAAACTAAAGTTAGGATAATATAATTGACATTGCTGGATTCTTTGTAAGACCAGGAATATTTTGAATATAAATGTCATATATTTTTCACAAAAGATAACATATTTACTCAGATTAAACATTTATCTAAAATTTGTATGTCTAATGCAAAATATATGATGTTTATATTCAAAATGATCACAAATTGTAAGAATTCCAGCAATGTAAATTATATTCTGGCAGGAAGAATTTGTATGAATTTTTATGAGCTAAAACAAATATCTTCAGTTAATAAAAAAAAAAAAATATTCTTCACAACACTATCTGTCAATCAAAGTACCCCTGCCTCCCCCCCCTCTTCCAACACGCACCGTCAGTCCAACCCTCCCCCACCAATCCTCCTTCAAGAGAAAGGTTGGGTGAAAAAAAAATATTAAACATTTTGTATTAAATAATACCTCAGATTAAAGTTAGGATAATATAATTGACATTGCTGGATTCCTTGTAAGACCAGGAATATTTTGAATATAAACGTCATATATTTTGCACAAAAGATAACATATTTACTCAGAGTGAACATTTTATCTAAAAATTTTTATGTCTAATGCAAAATATATGATGTTTATATTCAAAATGATCATCAAATTGTGAAATTCAGCAATGTAAATTATATTCTGGCGGGTAATTTGTATGAATTTTATGAGCTAAAACAAATATCTTCAGTTAATAAAAAAAATATTCTTCACAGGGTAACAGATGGTTGATTGGGGTCCCTCCCTCCCCCACCCCCACCAACCGTCCCAAGGAGATGTGTGGGAAACCAGAATCTTCTTTTGTAATAAATAATACCTCAAACTAAAGTGAGAGGAGGAGTTGAGTCCATTATTTGATGGACATTAACTTGGCGACTGTATTTCTCTATTTCTCATAAGTATTAATTGTGTGCATAAAATTAAGATGTTATTTTTACTACAACATAGTTATGTGTCTTCAAAAGTGGAGTTTGGGGTGGGCTGGTTTCTATGGAATTAATCCCATATGTTCTGTTGTTCCTTAACGGGACCCTCTGGGTTCTATTGACGCTAAGTAGAATATTATATATATATATATATATATATATATATATATATATATATATATATATATATATATATATATATATATATATATATATATATATATATATATATATATATATATATATATATATATATATATATATATATATATATATATATATATATATATATATATATATATATATATATATATATATATATATATATATATATATATATATATACCTCCGACTTACACGGGGTTGGGGACCAAATCCAGGTTGTAAGTCCCATAGATAATTTTTTTTTTTTTTTTTTTTTTAATAAAAAATCTACAATGAAATACAGTACAGTAAAAGTAATGAATAATGATGAATGGATACAGTACAGTGAAATTAATAAATAATAGAATGGATCAGTGTGACTGAGCACTTAACCTTTAATGTAGTCAGCTGAATGCACATGGGGCCATAATTTTCTAATTATACATGGAGACTACATTAACTGGAAACGTTTCGGTATAGAAAATGCCTGTGTCATTTTGAAAAAAAAAAAAATAATAAAAATTCTGCGTGATCGTAGAGGTCCGACGGTTAATAAATCCGTAAGTAAGTCGGGGTAGGGTGTGTGTATATATATATATATATATATATATATATATATATATATATATATATATATATATATATATATATATATATATATATATATATATATATATATATATATATATATATATATATATATATATCATGTAGATCCACAATGAAAACGTGGATAAGAATACAAATCTTCACTAAAAAGTTTCCTTCAAGCTATTCCTTAGACTGAGGAAAGATGCTTATGAATGTAAAATTAACTTATTTGTCAAATTTCAATGTGTTTGGATGGATGATATGCCTGTTCCATTAGGTTCAACTGTCAGTAAGCTTGTATAATTAACCTTTCTCACTGGGACTTGGTCACAATTTTTGTGGTGCCATATGGCAGCAGGGTCTACCATTAGACAAGGCATTATGCTTTCAATATCTTGTTTTTATAAGGTTTAAGTGTGTCAGTGTGCACAATCTGTTTCTCAAGGTACAAATAATGCAGTCGGCTTGATTTCTTATCGTGATCTTATAAAGAGGCTTTGTAAGCTCATTTCATAATTGTTATGTGGCACCAAATATAGTATATATATATTGAATTTAGAGGTAATTGAGAGGTATTTACCCTGCTTGTTCAGTAGGTAGGAATATTATTTTGTTCCTGTATGTAATATTTGTTTACTATATTATATATATTGATTTATAATGTGTAATTATGAAGCAAATCAGCCCATGTTGTGTATTTGTTAGGGAAAATAGTCACCCTTGCCCCACTGTGCGTCAAGGGTAACGAGCCTGGCTGGTGATGGAGTATAGTCCTGGTATCCTGGTACAGTTGGTTTGGACTCATGTATATAGAGATAAGTGGTTTATTTTTTTGTACTGTTCAAGTGTGTGGTAAGGCTGAGTTTAAGGTTTAGGTTAATTTAGGCTGTGCTTGTTTGTATTTAAATTTGTATTTTTTCTTATCTTAGTAAATACAATCCTAATTTTATTATGCAGTAATACAAAATTATGCTGTTTATGATTCTACCTCAATTTGAGTTAATCTGAGGCTTATTAAGAACCTGGCAGATTTAATATTAGAGTCATTATAGTGTTTACCCTGCTTGTTGTTGTGACCACTAGTGGCAGGGGTTTGTTTGTTTATGCTTTCACGATCAAGCCTCATCTCTTCTGTGACTAGTGGCAAATTCTTGATTAAGAGGAGTAATGGCATAACATAATGCATATAATTATTTACATCAACTCATCCCCCAGTTTGAAATACTGTATGACTGACAAAAGTAGTCCAGGCTGAAGAAGCCACAGGTCCAGAAAACTTTGAGGGCAAACTTTTTCGGAGTGAGAGTTGTGAACTCTTGGATCAATCTGCCAGAAAGTGTTGTGACGGCACCGAGTGTGAGCTCTTTCAAGACAAGACTTGACCAACACTGGAGCAGGTTCAGGTACATTCAGGAGCGGATTCATGCCCTGTACTTGCCAACAGAGATGGTACTGATCGCCCAAGCGGCTAACGAGCTGATCAGTGGTGAAGAGGTTAAAAATAAAAGTAAATGATCACCCTGACACCCCACCACCATAATCAACCTGACACCCCACCACCATAATCACCCTGACACACCACCACCATAATCACCCTGACACCCCACCACCATAATCAATTGACACCCCACCACCATAATCAATTCTGGACCCCCACCACCATAATCACCCTGACACCCCACCACCATAATCACCCCTGACACACCACCACCATAATCACCCCTGACACACCACCACCATAATCACCCTGACACCCCACCACCATATAATCATCACCCTGACACCCCACCACCATAATCAATTCTGACACCCCACCACCATAATCACCCTGACACACCACCACCATAATCAACAATTCTGGACACCACCACCAATCACCCTGGACACACCACCACCACAATCACCCTGACACACCACCACCACACCGTCTTGACACACCACCACCACAATCACTCCTGACACACCACCACCACAATCACCCTGACACACCACCACCACAATCAATTCTGACACACCTCACCACCATAATCACCCTGACACCCCACCACCACAATCACCCTGACACCCACCACACCAGCAATCACCCTGACACCCACCACCACAATCAATTCTGACACACCACCACCACAATCACCCTGACACCACCACCATAATCACCCTGACACACCACCACCATAATCACACTTGACACACCACCACCATAATCACCCCTTTCATCTATATAACATACAGTGTTTTGTGTTTAATAATCGACATTGGTTTTAACCTTTTGGCTGCGGTAGGTTACCCTAAGCTGAATAAAATCGTCTGGGGTAGCTAGAATAAAATGGCAAGTTCAGGAAATGTAGCGAAAGGGTTAAGTATTTAAGTTTTAAAATGGGGTCAGTTAATTTAGGAGCTCTATGTATCACGTTCTAATACAGTACTGTATGGTGTATGGAAAAACATTGAGCCTAATATTCTTATGTTAAACAAATTAACTGAAGTTCTGTACTGTATTTACAAAAGAGATGGAGGCTGCTACTTCATATGAGGCCTTCAACTGTGTAGAGGACTTTCCAGGATATAAATGGAAATCATAGATTTCATTGTTATTTCTTTACAGTGATATTTGCCCTTAAACTGGGAATGATTTGTAACAAGATAGAGCTGCCCATTGTATTGCATTAAGCTCCAGAAGTTTGTGTATGATCTTCTAAAACCTACATTATCATAATACAGTACCCTCAGAGGGATCTAATGGGATGTGATTAAGAACTAGGTGGTGACTTTCATCCTTATATGTGGGGAGTTTTCACCATAAAGTTGTGGTCTTCCACAGTACACATGGGTGAAATTAACCCCTTGTGTACAGGGTCCCCTCGGAGCTGAA